AAAGTAGAAACTCTCGTACTCATTTACCAAGGGATCTGACAGGTTGTAAACAAAACAGTACATCACCATGTCAGGCTCCGAAACAGTAATTGAACAAGAATTACAGGACAGTAAGGAGGAAATTAATCCATCCACGAACGCAGTAAACTCACCACCTGGAATTCCGAAGGTCATCATCAATGCCCCTGATGGAGATACACTCAATCAAGGGGACAAATTAATTTCGGAGGTCAAGCAGAGGTACTCCGAGATTATGCAAGTTCCAGAGGATGGTCTCACAGTGCATCAACTCATCCAACTGAGGCAGATACAGCTCAGGGTGGACAGTATTACGGAGGTTTATCAGGAACTCACCAAGGTCATCATGACCGACGAGGATGTCACCTCCGAGGATTTGGACGGCCACGATAGGATCCTGGATTCCGAATGGGCAGAATTACTCACCATCCAGGGGAGCCTGATCGAGTCCATTCCACACGATCACCCGTATCTCGCGAACGGGGTATTCGAGCAGGCAGCCACCACCAGGAAGCAATGCGTCAGGCTCATCAGCAGGTTGAGAGGTCAACTAGCTAAGAAAGCTCAGTCACCCAGTACACCACCGAGTCCTCAACATCACGATCAGCTGAAGAGACTGGACATCAAGCCTTTTGATGGCAATCCTTCACAGTGGAAGGAGTTCAGTGACCTCTTCACTTCACTGGTGGGCAGCAAATCTACAATTCCCCCAGTGGAGAAATTGGTGAGGCTGAAGAGCAGCCTCAGAGGACCAGCAGCAGCTCTGATCTCTACGATACCCATCAGCGATCAGAATTATGAGAACGCATGGAGAAAGCTCCAAAAGAAGTATGATGATCCCAGACTTTTGGCACAGTACTTATTTAATCGAGTCCTGGAGTTGCCAAAAATCACCAAACCCACGGAACAGAATCGCACCGACAACGTGGCAGCAGTGGTCGAGTCGCTGGACCAGGTCAGAACAGTGGCCGGCCTTTCAGAAGCGAACCTAACAGAACAGCTGTTCGCTCACCTCCTGAGGAAGTCCTTGGACGCAGAGACTCTCAGACAATGGG